ACCTCGATCAATATCCTGTTTGTCGTTATGATACTCTAAACACTGTATTCCTAGATCACTATACTGTTTGTCATAATGATAAACACTGTATACCTAGATCACTATACTGTTTGTCGTTATAATAAACACTGTATACCTCAATCAATATCCTGTTTGTCGTTATGATACTCTAAACACTGTATACCTAGATCACTATACTGTTTGTCGTTATAATAAACACTGTATACCTAGATCACTATACTGTTTGTCGTTTTAATAAACACTGTATACCTAGATCACTGTACTGTTTGTCGTTATAATAAACACTGTATACCTCGATCAATATCCTGTTTGTCGTTATGATACTCTAAACACTGTATACCTAGATCACTGTACTGTTTGTCGTTATGATAAACACTGTATACCTCGATCACTATACTGTTTGTCGTAATGATAAACACGGTATACCTCGATCACTATCATGTTTGTCCTTATGATAAACAAAACACTGTATACCTCGATCACTATACTGTTTGTCGTTATGATAAACACTGTATACCTCGATCACTTTACTGTTTGTCGTTATGATAAACACTGTAGACCTCGATCACTATACTGTTTGTCGTTACGATAAACACTGTATACCTTTATCACTATACTGTTTGTCGTTATGATAAACACGTTAAACCTCGATCACTATTCTGTTTGTCGTTATGATAAACACTGTATACCTCGATCACTTTACTGTTTGTCGTTATGATAAACACTGTAGACCTCGATCACTATACTGTTTGTCGTTATGATAAACACTGTATACCTTTATCACTATACTGTTTGTCATTATGATAAACACGGTATACCTCGATCACTATACTGTTTGTCGTAATGATAAACACTGTATACCTAGATCACAATACTGTTTGTCGTTATGATAAACTAAACACTGTATACCTCGATCACTATACTGTTGTCATAATGATAAACACTGTATAACTAGATCACTATATTGTTTGCCGTTATGATAAACACGGTATACCTAGATCACTATACTGTTTGTCGTTCTGATAAACACAGTATACCTCGATCACTATACTGTTTGTCGTTATGATAAACACTGAATACATCGATCACTATATTGTTTGTCGTTATGATAGACACTGTATACCTCGATCACTATACTGTTTGTCGTTACGATAAACACTGCATACATCGATCACTATATTATTTGTTGTATGATAAACACTGTATACCTCGATCACTATACTGTTTGCCGTTATGATAAACACCATTTACCTAGATCACTATACTGTTTGTCGTTATGATAATCTAAAAACTTATACCTAGATCACTGTCCTGTTTGTCGTTAATTTAAAATTAAAAACGAATACCTATGTAACTGTACTGTTTGTAATTATGATACACTAACAATGTATACCTTGATGACTAAACTGTTTGTCGATATAATAAAATAAACACTGTATACTTCTATCACTATACTGTTTGTCGTTATGATAAACACTGTTCACCGCGTTCACTATACTGTTTGTCGTTATGATAAACTAAACACTGTGTACCCAGATCACTATACTGTTTGTCGTTATGATAAAGAAACACTAAATATCTCTATAACTGTACCTGTTGTCGTTAATATAAAATGAATAATGAATACCTATATATCTGTACTGTTTGTCATTATGATAAACTTACACTGTATACCTATATTACTGTACTGTTTGTCGTTATGATAAACTAAACATTGTATACCTTGATCAATAAACTGTTTGTCGTTATGATAAACACTGTATACCTTGATCACTTTACTGTTTGTCGTTATGATAAACACTGTATACCTAGATCACTATACTGTTTTTCGTTATGATAAACTAAACACTGTATACCTCGATCACTATACTGTTTGTTGGTAAGATAAACACTGTATACCTAGATCACTATACTGTTTGTCGTTATGAGAAACTAAACGTTGTATACCTAGATCACTCTACTGTTTGTCGTTATAATAAACACTGTATACCTCGATCACTATACTGTTTGTCGTTATGATAAACACGGTATACCTCGATCACTATACTGTTTGTCCTTATGATAAACTAAACACTGTATACCTAGATCACTATACTGTTTGTCGTTATGAGAAACTAACCACTGTATACCTCGATCACTATACTGTTTGTCGTTATGTTAACACTGTATACCTAGATCACTATACTGTTTGTCATAATGATAAACACTGTATTCCTCGATCACTATACTGTTTGTCGTTATGATAAACTAAACACTGTCTACCTCGATCACTATACTGTTTGTCGTTATGATAAACTAAACACTGTCTACCTCGATCACTATACTGTTTGTCGTTATGATAAACTAAACAATGTATACCTCGATCACTATACTGTTTGTCATAATGATAAACACTGTATACCTCGATCACTATACTGTTTGTCGTTATGATAAACTAAACAATGTATACCTCGATCACTATACTGTTTGTCATAATGATAAACACTGTATTCCTCGATCACTATACTGTTTGTCGTTATGATAAACACCGTATACCTCGATCACTATACTGTTTGTCGTTATGTTAACACTGTATACCTAGATCACTATACTGTTTGCCATAATGATAAACACTGTATACCTAGATCACTATATTGTTTCTCGTTATGATAAACACTGTATACCTCGATCACTATACTGTTTGTGGTTCTGAAACACCGTATACCTTGATCAATCTACTGTTTGTCGTTATGATAAACACTGCATACCTCGATCATTATATTGTTTGTCGTTATGATAAACACGGTATACCTCGATCACTATACTGTTTGTCGTTATGATAAACACCGTATACCTCGACCACTATACTGTTTGTCGTTATGACAAAATGAACACTGTATACCTCGATCACTATACTGACCTCGATCACTATACTGTTTGTGGTTCTGAAACACCCTATACCTTGATCAATCTACTGTTTGGCGTTATGATAAACTAAACACTGTCTACCTCGATCACTATACTGTTTGGCGTTATGATAAACTAAACACTGTCTACCTCGATCACTATACTGTCTGGCGTTATGATAAACACTGCATACATCAATCACTACATTGTTTGTCGTTATGATAAACCCTGTATACCTCGATCACTATACTGCTTGTCGTTATGATAAACACTGTATACCTCGATCACTATACTGTCTGTCGTTATGATAAACACTGCATACATCGATCACTACATTGTTTGTCGTTATGATAAACACTGTATACCTCGATCACTATACTGTTTGTCGTTATGATAAACTCCGTATACCTCGATCACTATACTGTTTGTCGTTATGATAAACACTGTATACTTTGATCACTATACTGTTTGTCGTTATAATAAACACTGTATACATCGATCACTATATTGTTTGTCGTTATGATAAACACTGTATACCTCGATCACTATACTGTTTGTCGTTCTGATAAACACCGTATACCTCGATCACTATACTGTTTGTCGTTATGATAAACACTGCATACATCGATCACTTTATTGTTTGTCGTTATGATAAACACTGTATACGTCGATCACTATACTGTTTGTCGTTATGATAAACACTGTATACCTAGATCACTATACTGTTTGTCATGATGATAAACTTACACTGTATACCTCGATCATTATACTGTTTGTCGTTATGATAAACACCGTATACCTCGATCACTATACTGTTTGTCGTTATAATAAACTAAACACTGTATTCCTCGATCACTATACTGTTTGTCGTTATGATAAACACTGTATACCTTGATCACTATACTGTTTGTCGTTATGATAAACACTGTATACATCGATCACTATATTGTTTGTCGTTATGATAAACAATGTATACCTCGATCACTATACTGTTTGTCGTTATGATAAAATAAGCACTGTATACCTCGATCACTATACTGTTTGTCATAATGATAAACACTGTATACCTAGATCACTATATTGTTTCTCGTTATGATAAACACGGTATACCTCGATCACTATACTGTTTGTCGTTCTGATAAACACCGTATACCTTGATCACTCTACTGTTTGTCGTTATGATAAACACTGCATACATCGATCACTATATTGTTTGTCGTTATGATAAACACTGTATACCTCGATCACTATACTGTTTGTCATTATGATAAACTTACACTGTATTCCTCGATCACTATACTGTTTGTCGTTATGATAAGCTAAACACTGTATACCTCGATCACTATACTGTTTGTCATTATGATAAACTTACACTGTATACCTCGATCACTATACTGTTTGTCGTTATGATAAACACTGTATACCTCGATCACTATACTGTTTGTCATTATGATAAAGAAACACTACATATCTATATTACTGTACTGTTTGTCGTTAATATTAATGAATACCTATATATCTGTACTGTTTGTCATTATGATAAACTTACACTGTATACCTATATAACTGTACTGTTTGTCGTTATGATAAACTAAACATTGTATACCTCGATCACTATACTGTTTGTCGTTATGATAAACACTGTATACATGGATCACTATATCGTTTTTCGTTATGATAAACACTGTATACCTCGATCACTTTACTGTTTGTCGTTATGATAAACACTGTATACCTCGATCACTATACTGTTTGTCGTTATGATAAACTAACACTGCATACCTAGATCACTAAACTGTTTGTCGTTATGATAAACTAAACACTGTACATCTATATATCTATATATCTGTACTGTTTGTCGTTATAATAAAATGAACATTGAATACCTATATATTCAAATGACCGTTAGCAAAACAAGATGAATTACTCTGTTACTAGCTCTATATTCACGCGTTAAACTTTCAATAAAAAATGTTGATCAACAACTTAGATACTTTCAATAATAATATTCCAGGATAATCAGCATATATTTAATTAAAAAAATGTCTGAGAAAGCCTTTTTAATGTTTTGGCAGAAAATTATATCTACTTACCGACAGAACGAAAAACCATCGCATGTAATTTCTCGCTGTTAATACTCTCAAGGTATTCAACCGGAGGTTGCTCCAGCAAACAATTGCATATTTTGTTTGACGGAACAAGCAGTCCATGTGCAGCATTCAAGGTAATGTAAGAGGATCTCTTACTTGCTTTTCTTTGTAAGGTAAGAGGAAAGAAAACATCCCAGCTTTTGGTGTTTCCTTGCACGAATATTTGTGTCCTATAAAGGGATGAGGCGGCGTAGAGTTCTGCTTTTCCAGCAATTGGCTTTCCCCCTTTTAATTCAGCTATGTAAGCTCTGCGTTTCTCTTTCTTTACCCTTTCTTTTTCTTTTGGTTTGGCATTTTTAGTGTCTTCCTCGTTATTCGTGCCGTCAAAGAAAACCTCCGCCAACACATCCTCACGCAGACACTTCACTATGAGTTCGCGCACATATTTATGATAAACTTCCGATCCATAAATTGTTTTACTAAGAGAACAGAAAAAGTCTTTCCTAGTTCTTTGATCAACTTTCCAGCTTTCAGAGTTCGGTTCTGCGTTTGTTTCCTCCGCACTATGAAGCTGATGACCAAGGGATCTGCGGAATGTCATCCCTAGACATTGACTATGATCCGCAATCTCTACATCAGTAAATCCTTCGGTCGGTGTAAGCTGCACGTACGCTGTTTTGTTTTGTCGACTTACTAATAGAACATAAAGTATCTCATCTGTTTCATAAGATGTAAATGGCGGATCTATAATTTCCTTTTGGGCACCGGAGGGATGCCAGAAGATCAGATGTATTGACCTTTGGAGAAATTCGGCGGCCGCGTGCATATCACGACGAGTTGGGCAATCCCTAATAGATTTACTGCGATCTAAGTCACTTTTTAAAACAACCTCAGGATCGACCTTTTCTGTTGAATCAAGATCAAATTCTGGTTTAAAAGCCATGAAAAATAACTTATATTCATTTTCCTTTTGAATTTTTTGGATTTCACGTCTTGCAAATTTTGGGTGGTCAACATTCTGCCTTTTTACATTACTCACTATGCGATAAAAGCTGTCGTCCTTCCATGTGGTAGGCCTGTATGCAACTTCGAAGCCTCGATTTTCTAACGATTGTACTGCAAAATCTAATTCTGATGTTATCAAATCTGCCATGATGGGATGTTCAACACAGCCTTGTACAGTCTAGTCAGAGTAAATCCATTATAAAATTGAGCAATGGGTGCTAAGAGCATATGCTTTGTAGCTACGTAAACAGATTGCATTAACACTGGACGCTCACGCGATTTTTGCACAATTCAATTCAATAGTAGTTTACCTTGGTGTACGACAGCCAATACTTGCCAACAAAATACCTTTAATACTTCTTTAGAATCTGAAAATTCACATAAATGTAGGATAAAATAAAAACATTACATAATACGCTCTCTAAGATCATGTTTGGAACCATATTATTAGTATGGTATACATATAGGATCTTACATGAGTTTCTATTTCATATGAGATTTATGAAACGAGTCTAAGAATTTTTCAGTTTAGCGAGCCTCTTGCGAGCTAAATTGAAATTATTGGTGAGTTTCATAAATATTCATATGAAATGAAAAAGAGTGTAAGATCCTTTTTATCACATAATCAAGATTTGTGGCATTTATTCGTGTAAAACGACAATTTTCATGCAACCTTGAAATATAAATAGCCGCCATTTTGACTCCAGTGCGTAAGTCTGTGCCGTCATGTACTTGTCCTAGGCGTGACGTCACAATTGAAACGTACAACCAATCACAGGCCAGATAGATCATATTACTTAGATTAATACCCTTAATATAATGTATGTATATTTCAATTTGTATGTGAACTCTCAGTAGCTATGACACTGACTTAAAATTGTATTTATGTCATCAAATCCGGACACAAGAATGAGGTATAACAGAATTTAAACTATGAATAGAATCAAAATGTGATTACTCATTCTTGGTTGAACACAAAAATAGTGAATGTGTTGAGATCGTTTTACTTCACAAACAAATGATTATGTGACGTCATGATCGATTAACGAAGCTCCAATATGGAGCAGATTTCACAAAAATTGCATTGTCCGGCATTTGACCGTAATTATTTATTGATGACCGATATAACGCTCATACAAGCTTTTAAAATATGCAAGTTGATATCGCTTCTGGTCTACCATAGATTTCGTATTAACGACGCGACCCATTTATACACTGATCGGTACTCCGCAAGCCATTATATCCGGGTGCACCGCATGAAAAGGCTTGTCTAACGATTGTGCTTTCAGTTGAAATTTGATAACACATTATACCGTCCTTACTAGCCCTGAAGTAATTTGATCCTTTTGTGTGTTTACTGCCCGCAGACACTACCTGTATTGACTGATGAAAGAGCGCTTCACTGCACTCGCTTGTCGATTACAGGTACAATGGCGAGCTGTTTTTGTCATTTGACGACAACAATATATGTATAGATATACTTATGTATTGGTACATCGTGCTCAATCCCACATTTGAGTTCGCAGTATTTTCAAAATGAGTTCGAACAGTTGGAGGAAAAATGGGAAAGAACATCAAAATAGTATTGATCTTTTCCAAAAATGCAATATTCTCCTCCAAATCAACTGCTGCACGTGTTACACAACACACGGATCAACATAGTGGACTTGGTGTTTTATTACTACTACGCATCGTGGCCGCAATAGTGAGATAATAGGCTCCCTCTCTGCAATATCTCTCTTAAATTGAAGCCAATGTCATTTTTAATATAGTTCTGTAATAACCATATGAATATGACAGTTACTCCTGACTGTTTTTGGGAGTTAGCACTCCCGTTCCTATCTCTATGTCATCCATGACTGACCTGGTCGCCACTAAATGGATAGCCCTACAACACTATATACAACTCCACAGTTCCCCGTCAATCAATGCAAGGTGTTACCCGAAAACGTAAGATTTGACCTCAAATGTACGTTTGACCAAAGTGCTGCTCTTTATTGATTCCCGCTGTCTTACATCGTAATTACCTAACTTACAGCTAGTTTTGTTACACACGGAGACATTTGATACCACAGAATAAGTACGTGCCGTTATTTTAATTTTAATTCAGTCTGTAGTTTCATCTATGACACTTAATCCCTAAAATATCATCCATGACTCCTTGCTTTAAAGATATTCAAATATCGTAAACGTTCTTCTGACGTATCTAAAAAATCATATTTGAATAACTTATTACTGAAACAAGTAATTTGCCTTAAGCCTAGAACTAATGATTGCGTACTAGGGGCTACACACAACACTAACCATCGACTGCCCCTGCTAATTCGATCTTTAACAGGAAAAGGATTCGTTGTAAAATCATATTATTTGTTCCGGTATATTCAGCTCCAATTGATTGGAGTATTTCACTTTTCCATTGATTTGATAGGAATAGAAAAAATAATTCTATTCTAACCCATTTTCACATAGTTGAACGAAAAATTTCCTTCTGCTCACTCAGAAAAAAAAAAATGAAAATAAGGCGAGAATATGTCTGTGTACAATGTAGCCATAGCGTTTGTTGTGTCTGTGTACCATGTATCCATAGTGTTTGCTGTGTCTGGGTACCATGTATCCATAGTGTTTGTTGTGTCTGTGTACCATGTATCCATAGTGTTTGTTGTGTCTGTGTACCATGTAGCCATAGTGTTTGTTGTGTCTGTGTACCATGTAGCCATAGTGTTTGTTGTGTCTGTGTACCATGTAGCCATAGTGTTTGTTGTGTCTGTGTACCATGTAGCCATAGTGTTTGTTGTGTCTGTGTACCATGTAGCCATAGTGTTTGTTGTGTCTGTGTACCATGTAGCCATAGTGTTTGTTGTGTCTGTGTACCATGTAGCCATAGTGTTTGTTGTGTCTGTGTACCATGTAGCCATAGTGTTTGTTGTGTCTGTGTACCATGTAGCCATAGTGTTTGTTGTGTCTGTGTACCATGTAGCCATAGTGTTTGTTGTGTCTGTGTACCATGTAGCCATAGTGTTTGTTGTGTCTGTGTACCATGTAGCCATAGTGTTTGTTGTGTCTGTGTACCATGTAGCCATAGTGTTTGTTGTGTCTGTGTACCATGTAGCCATAGTGTTTGTTGTGTCTGTGTACCATGTAGCCATAGTGTTTGTTGTGTCTGTGTACCATGTAGCCATAGTGTTTGTTGTGTCTGTGTACCATGTAGCCATAGTGTTTGTTGTGTCTGTGTACCATGTAGCCATAGTGTTTGTTGTGTCTGTGTACCATGTAGCCATAGTGTTTGTTGTGTCTGTGTACCATGTAGCCATAGTGTTTGTTGTGTCTGTGTACCATGTAGCCATAGTGTTTGTTGTGTCTGTGTACCATGTAGCCATAGTGTTTGTTGTGTCTGTGTACCATGTAGCCATAGTGTTTGTTGTGTCTGTGTACCATGTAGCCATAGTGTTTGTTGTGTCTGTGTACCATGTAGCCATAGTGTTTGTTGTGTCTGTGTACCATGTAGCCATAGTGTTTGTTGTGTCTGTGTACCATGTAGCCATAGTGTTTGTTGTGTCTGTGTACCATGTAGCCATAGTGTTTGTTGTGTCTGTGTACCATGTAGCCATAGTGTTTGTTGTGTCTGTGTACCATGTAGCCATAGTGTTTGTTGTGTCTGTGTACCATGTAGCCATAGTGTTTGTTGTGTCTGTGTACCATGTATCCATAGTGTTTGTTGTGTCTGTGTACCATGTAGCCATAGTGTTTGTTGTGTCTGTGTACCATGTAGCCATAGTGTTTGTTGTGTCTGTGTACCATGTAGCCATAGTGTTTGTTGTGTCTGTGTACCATGTAGCCATAGTGTTTGTTGTGTCTGTGTACCATGTAGCCATAGTGTTTGTTGTGTCTGTGTACCATGTAGCCATAGTGTTTGTTGTGTCTGTGTACCATGTAGCCATAGTGTTTGTTGTGTCTGTGTACCATGTAGCCATAGTGTTTGTTGTGTCTGTGTACCATGTAGCCATAGTGTTTGTTGTGTCTGTGTACCATGTAGCCATAGTGTTTGTTGTGTCTGTGTACCATGTAGCCATAGTGTTTGTTGTGTCTGTGTACCATGTAGCCATAGTGTTTGTTGTGTCTGTGTACCATGTAGCCATAGTGTTTGTTGTGTCTGTGTACCATGTAGCCATAGTGTTTGTTGTGTCTGTGTACCATGTAGCCATAGTGTTTGTTGTGTCTGTGTACCATGTAGCCATAGTGTTTGTTGTGTCTGTGTACCATGTAGCCATAGTGTTTGTTGTGTCTGTGTACCATGTAGCCATAGTGTTTGTTGTGTCTGTGTACCATGTAGCCATAGTGTTTGTTGTGTCTGTGTACCATGTAGCCATAGTGTTTGTTGTGTCTGTGTACCATGTAGCCATAGTGTTTGTTGTGTCTGTGTACCATGTAGCCATAGTGTTTGTTGTGTCTGTGTACCATGTAGCCATAGTGTTTGTTGTGTCTGTGTACCATGTAGCCATAGTGTTTGTTGTGTCTGTGTACCATGTAGCCATAGTGTTTGTTGTGTCTGTGTACCATGTAGCCATAGTGTTTGTTGTGTCTGTGTACCATGTAGCCATAGTGTTTGTTGTGTCTGTGTACCATGTAGCCATAGTGTTTGTTGTGTCTGTGTACCATGTAGCCATAGTGTTTGTTGTGTCTGTGTACCATGTAGCCATAGTGTTTGTTGTGTCTGTGTACCATGTAGCCATAGTGTTTGTTGTGTCTGTGTACCATGTAGCCATAGTGTTTGTTGTGTCTGTGTACCATGTAGCCATAGTGTTTGTTGTGTCTGTGTACCATGTAGCCATAGTGTTTGTTGTGTCTGTGTACCATGTAGCCATAGTGTTTGTTGTGTCTGTGTACCATGTAGCCATAGTGTTTGTTGTGTCTGTGTACCATGTAGCCATAGTGTTTGTTGTGTCTGTGTACCATGTAGCCATAGTGTTTGTTGTGTCTGTGTACCATGTAGCCATAGTGTTTGTTGTGTCTGTGTACCATGTAGCCATAGTGTTTGTTGTGTCTGTGTACCATGTAGCCATAGTGTTTGTTGTGTCTGTGTACCATGTAGCCATAGTGTTTGTTGTGTCTGTGTACCATGTAGCCATAGTGTTTGTTGTGTCTGTGTACCATGTAGCCATAGTGTTTGTTGTGTCTGTGTACCATGTAGCCATAGTGTTTGTTGTGTCTGTGTACCATGTAGCCATAGTGTTTGTTGTGTCTGTGTACCATGTAGCCATAGTGTTTGTTGTGTCTGTGTACCATGT